TGGAGTCAGTGTTCGTTTCATTTTTTTAAAATTTTTTTTTAGGAAATGATTGCTTAGTTGAAAGTGCAGATGTTTTTACACTCTGATTTGATAATGGCTCTATAACTTCTTGACCAACTTCAATTATTGATCCATCTGAATTTTCACTCATGTATTCCGAACGAGTTTCTTCATTATTTGAATTAGAAAACTCGGTATCATCATCATCACTAACCCTGTTAACACTACTAATAGATTCTCTTTCTTTCGTGTGCTTTTTCAAAAATTCCATTTCATCGCAAAAATTTCCATTTCTTAACAAATTTAGATTTTTGACCAGAAACAGTTATTAATTTTTTGGATGATCTCCTATAAGCATCAGCATCTGCATTATTTGGTAATGCTTTTAATCTCCTACAGTAAATGCGAAATTTAGCTGTTAATTGACCAAATGTGTCTTCGACTACTTTCCGTGCTCTTGAAAGCCTTTCGTTAAAAATTTTTTTGTCTCGTCATCGTAACTTTGAGGTCCAGGATATAGCCTCAACAAATAATTTTTAAGAGGAAATGCTTCATCTCCTATGATAACATAGGGTAATTCTATATCTGTACCGGGCAATACTCAACCATTAGGAATGTTAAATTTATTTTTTTCTAATGCTTTTCCAAAATTTGAGGTCGATAATATACCTCCGTCACCATTTTTCCCATACGCACCAATATCGACAGCAATGAATTTGTTTATTGAGCATCAACTAATCCTAATAGCACAATAGAAAATGTTTTCTTGTAATTAAAGAATAATGAGCCACTATTCGGGGGAGCTTCAATAGAAACGTGCTTTCCATCTAATGCACCTATACAATTGGGAAAATTCCATAGCTCCCAAAACTCGTTGGATATTTGCACCCAATCTTCTTTTTTGGGACATGGTATGCATTCATTTTTCATTTTAGATATAATAGCATCACATACTTCTAAGACAATTCCCTGGACAGTTGAATGACCCAATCGAAAACTGAATGCTATAGTTTGATAAGAATCTCCGGTTCCCAAAAACCTATATAAAATAAATAATTTAATATTTGAAACCAGTTTTTATAGTTTTATAGGTCTATTATATTTTTTTCGGGGTCAACATTATGAAGAATATTGAATTTAAATATGAAAATTAATTTATCATTTTTCCTCGTGATCTTCTAATTGTCGACAAAGAGTAGCAAATTCACCTTTAGTCTTCCGTTTTTTCAAAATGTCGTGAACCCAAATCGACCCTTTTTTAATATTTGTTTGTCTGACATCTTGTTCTTCTTCATCTTCGTCTATTAAAACCGCTTTCATAGCCAATTCGGGCATAGATAAATGACGAAACATATTTATTATTTTTTTAATTATCACCGAACCACGTAAACTCTTGTCGACCGCACTACAAAAGAGGCACGCAAATACAAACCAACGTTATAATATTATAGATCTAGGAAATATTATTAGGATGCTGGTGGTTGCTGGTGGTTACTAGTGGCTGGCGTTGGTTGCTGGTGTGTGCTGGTTCTATGTGAATTAACGGTGCCGTTACGTTACGGTCTGGTGCTGTGCCATGCCGTGTCGGACTAGTGTGAATCGGGCTTAATTCTTTTAACTTGTTGTTCTCGCCGACGAAATTAGTCACGTTGTCTGAGTATATTGCGACGCTTTTTCCACGTCTGTCGAAAAATCTATTTAATGCATTTAGAAATGACTGTGTCGTGAGATCGCTGACTGGTTCAATATGAACGGCCTTAGTGGCGAAACAAACGAACACACAGGCATATTATATGATTTAATTAACGGGGCTCGACGCAACAGACTAGATTTTATAAAAAATGGTCCGGCGAAATCTACACCGCATTTTAAGAATGGACGCCCGGGTTCGGCGCGATCACTAGGCAGGTTTCCCATAATAGGTTGCACGGTGATGGGTTTACTGCGGAAACATACAACACATTTATGTACTATGTTGCGTATCAGGTTGCGTCCGTTTATCGGCCAATACTGTAATCGTATTGCGGCTAATACCGCTTGCGGTCCGCCGTGCATCAGGCGCTCATGCTGATCGCTACATAATAAATTAGTAAATGTACTATGAGATGGTAACACAATCGGGTGCAGGTGTTGAATATCAATTAACGACGCATTTTTCAGCCGACCTCCGACACGTATTAAATCATTATCATCCAAGAAAGGTCGTAGGCGTATTAGTTTACTTTTCGATGATACGCAGTTACCTTTTTTTAATTCATGCAACTCACTAGCAAAATGGTCAGCTTGTACAATTTTTATTAATGCCATTTTTGCGTTATTCAACTCACAGGCACCAAGTGAACCACTACATTTTGTCCCCTTTACTACTGCATTATTTTTAAAACTTAAACACCATGCCACTATACTTATACATTTTGATAACGACGAAAAACGATCTAAAATCATTTCAGCTGTCACCGCAGCGACCATGGCGATCGACTTGTCCTTCCTCATCTCTACCACACTATCATCAGCATCGCATTCGTCAATTGGCATGTTCCATAATGGTTTTGGCCACTCACGCTCGTTTTGCCGTAACCACGCAGGACCAGCCCACCATAAATCCTTTTCGGCTAATTTCGACGGGCAACAACCTCTTGAGATTATGTCAGCGGGATTGTCGCTTGTTTTAACATGATGCTATTCCGAATGTAAAGTGCTGTCCTGTATTTCACTCACCCTATTGGCTACAAACGTTTTCCACTTCGCGGACTATGATGCGATCCAAGCCAGTACGATAGTGGAATCAGTCTAAAAGTATCTTCGCTGTATATTTATTTGCAACTTTGGTAGTAAGTTGTTTGTTACTCGAACTAATAGCAAGGCTGCGCATAATTCTAAACGTGGGATTGACAGAGACTTTATTGGTGCTACTTTAGACTTAGCGCATATTAAGCTAGTATAACATATTCCGACACTATTTGTGCATCTCACGTATAAACAGCAACCGTAAGTCTGTTCGCTAGCGTCTGCAAAGCCGTGAACTTCTATCTCGTCGCTAGTAAAATCACCTGCGATTTTACGTGGTATGGTCAGATTATTTAATGACGACATCCATTAGCAGTATTTACGCCATTCTTCTTGCATATACGCTGGTATGGCCTCGTCCCTATCGATATTTTCGACAGGGCTTGTAATAATATCCTTGCACGTATGACTACCGGTCCTACCAAGTCTAACGGATCAAAAATTGACGCTATATCCGATAATATCTTACGTTTTGTTATCGTATTTTTTGTACAATTTGGTACTATCGTAACCTTAAATCTTAATGTGTCAGAGCTGGCGACCCAGAATAGTCCCAAGATTTTTTTAACTGCAATCTCGGTTTCAAAATCATTCGATAATTCAATATCTTCCTCAGGTACTATAGATTTAATCAAATCAATATCGCTCGATGACCATTTTCGCAATTTCATACCAGCAGCACCCAACAGTGCTGTAAGTTGCATTAAAAGTTCCGCGGCTTTCTCCTTAGATTCCGCACCTCCCAAGAAGTCGTCCATATAAATATCGCGTACAATTTGCCGACGCCTCGCGATACTGGTCTGGATAAGTTTCAGCCAAGCCTTTGAAACATACGGTGGCCAGATACGACGCCGGTACTGTACCGTACGTTACCGTATTTAACCGATAGGTCTGCATAGGTGCATCCGGACTAGTACGCCACAATATGCGCTGCATATTGCGGTGCGCTCTGTCACCCAAATCTGTCTATACATTTTCTCTACGTCAGCTGATAAGACGTACTTATGCGTCCGAAAACGCGCTAAAATATATATGATGTCATCTTGTATGACAGGTCCCTTTAATAAGATATCATTCAGACTAACACCTGTTACACGACGCGTCGAACACAACGCGTAATTTTGTCGACGTGCTGTCCTCTTTTGTTACTGCGTGATGTGGCAGGTAGCACGTTTCGCCTTCGATTTCACCGTCTTCATCTTTCACCAGCTCCATATGACCTAGATCTTCGTATTCCTTCATGAAGCGTGTATACTCGAGTTGTAAGGGCCGGTTATTTTCGAATTTCTTTTCCATAGATAATAATCGACGTTTTGCAATTTCGTATGATTTTCCCAATTTTTTGAACTCTCGCGGAACGGTAGTTGAACTATAAAACGTCGGTCCTCTTCACATTGCGAAACCGTATTATTAAAAAAATGTACGCATACTTGTTCTTCTCGCGTGTGTGTGACGTTATTTCTTGGTTCTTCAATGAACCAAAACCTTTGTAATAGCTTTTCTATCGTCGGCCTGTTTTCCGTTGTAAAAAATGTTGAGCTCGTGATCATTGCATTTTTCCGATGATTTATTCCAATAGGTCCGGAGCCTACCCAGCCAAATTCTGTTTTTTGATATAACGGACCACTAGGATTTTTTCGTATTTTTCCTCCACATAAAATATCAAAAAAATGCTCTGCACCTATTAAAATGTCGATTTTTTGTGGTGTATAGAATAACGGATCTGCCAATTTAATATTGTCGGGAATATCATACATCGCGTTTACTTTTTTATTTGGTAGGTATCCGGTGATTTTGGGTACTACCAACGTTTGTAAATGCAATGTATGGCTATTATTTATACAAGATTTTATTAGGGTAAAGTAGGCAGTTATTGGCACCTTAAGGAAATTTCGCTCTTTACCTAACCTATATCTTGTGTTTAACCATGGTTAAAATTACTGAATTCTCTTTGACTTTATTTAAAATGTTTTTATCTTTCTAAGTTTACTATCAAAATTGGTTTAGAGTTATAGGTTTTTTTATATTTATAGTTCTTCACAAAAATATCAAAACATTTAGTTATTGGCACCATTGTTGAGGTTATTGGCACTCTCATCATTAGTTATTGGCACGAGGGGATCGAGAGCAAAAATCATGAACCAATCATTGCTAACCATTACTGAACATGCGCTGGGACTTATTATTATTATTTAGTGATTACACGTTATCAACTTTTTTCAAACTTCATCTAGAGTTTAGACTTTAGACTATGATATGAAATATTGAAGATAGAATGTCAAATGACAATGTCACATGATTCAAGAGTCTTTTAGTCTTTATGATTATGACATTATGTAGTAGGTATTTTGTAAAGTTAATTACAATGTCGTTGTCTTGTTCTAAATGCAATAAAGTGTTTGGTTATCATTGGAATCTTAAAACTCATGAAAATAAATGTAGTATAAATGTTCAAAATGAAAATAATAACTTAATCAAATGCCCAGACAGTAAATGTGAATATTCATTTACCAGCTATGCGATATTAAGAAAACATGTGGAAGATTTTCATTCAGTTGTTTTAAATAAAGAACAACATTGTTTCAAAACCTTGAATGGTACGTATTATGTGATGCATATTGGATATATCATATATGTAAATATGTTTAACACTAACACTTTCCTACTCATTTCAATTTTTGCAGAATTTATGGAATGGAAACAAAAAATTGAAAAAGAATGTGTTTGTTCCTATGTTTCAAAAGCAACAGCTCGTTTAAAAAAAGGAAAGCGAACTTATTATTATTGCCATCGAAGCGGTTACTTTAAAACTAAATCACAAGGTATAAGGCGTATCAAAAGCCAAGGCAGTAACAAGATAGATTCTACATGCACATCGTCAATGGTAAATAATGAATATGGTTGAGTGTGCTTTTTTTCAATTTATAAAGTACCTATCTTATTTAAATAATTAGGTTGTAAAAGAAGATACAAATGGAATAAGTGTTAACTATTGTAGTACTCATTTTGGACATGGATCTAACTTAGGCCGATGTCGATTAACTGCTGATGAACGTGCAATGATAGCAGGTAGTGATGTAAATTTGTGTATTGTTTTGAATTTATTTATTTTGAAAATTGTTTGTAAATATACCAAAATAAATATTATAATTTATAGAACATATAAATGGCGACAATGCAAAAGGGCATAAGCGACATTTTCAAAATTGTTCAGGAGAGCCAAAAAACAAATTTTAAACAATAATTGCAATTTTTAGATTATTTTTTTAATTTACAAAAATATGATAAAAATATAAAACTTTAGTTGTATTCTATTCAAGACAATCATGCTTCCATGTTTTTAGTTAAACATTTATATCATTTAGAATTGGGTCTTTTTATGTTATTTGGTGCTTATGCCCTATTATTTTAATTACCTGTAATTTTAGTACTAGTATTTTGGCGCTTATGCCCCATTAATTTCCTTTCCTGTAATTTTATTTCTTGGGCATAATATTATTATTATTATTTGTATAAATGCTGTGATTTTTAACTATATTAATTACTTTAATGTCATTAACAAAATAAATAAACTTAGTAATACATTTTTTCATGTATTAAGCCAACATAATATAGTGATAACTGTTAACTTTAAAATTATATAAAATATTTTTCCTTAATATTTAACTTTAGTATTGGCCAATAAGATATCAACCGAATTAGATATTTTTGTACTTTCTTGTAATATATTTAGATTTAAAGCTTTAGAATTAATGAAATTATAGTAATTATTATACTATTTTTGTGTTTTTGATATGATAAATTAATAAGTTTATATACCTACTAGTATTTTATACACAATATGTTATTAATATTACAAAAGTTATTAAAATATTGTAAAAAGGACATAGCCTGTCAAAACATAAATAAATAAATAATAAATGTTTAATGTTTAATGTTATTATGAATTTGTTTATTTGTTTAATATTTTCCTTCATTTGTTTTTGTAGGAAAAATTGCAGAAGGAGTTACTTTTTCTAAAATTTTGGATGATGTTAGAAACAATGTACACAGTATTTATGATGTGACAACTCTTATCTCAAAAAGAGATCTGAGAAATGTTGAAAGAGATTTTAATTTAGTCGAAGGTAAAGATCATTCTTCAGACTTTGTTAGTGTTTGTATTTGGATAGAAAGGATGAACAATTTGTCTGAAGAAGAAAATCCTATTATTTATTCATGTTTGGAAAATGAAGATCTATTTTTAATCATAGCTACAAAGTTTCAATTAGAAATGCTTCAAAAATTTGGAAATGAAAAAATTTGTGTGGATTCTACCCACGGTACTACAGAATACGACCTGCTTCTTACTTCACTGGTAATAGTAGACGAGTTTGGAAATGGATTTCCTTGTTGTTTTTGTTTTACAAAAAAGAAAGACACCAAAACATGGACTACTTTTTTCACAAAAGTAAAAGAAAAGACTGGCATTATAACAACAAAGATTTTTATGAGTGATGATGACCCATCATTTTATAACGCTTGGCGCGATGTGATGGGTGACACTGAGCACAAACTTCTATGTAGTTGGCATGTTGACCAGTCATGGCGTAAACAGGTACAGGCAAAAATAAAAGGTTCATATGAAAAAAAAACTTACGTTTACAAAACACTTAAAATATTACAACATGAACCAAATACCGATGATTTTGAAAAATTGTTAACTGGGATATGTGAAGAGTTGAAAAATGATGAAGATACAAATGAATTTCATTCATACTTCCAATCTAATTATTTAAAAAGAGTGGAGCAATGGGCATATTGCCATCGCCGTTTATGTGGTATTAACACCAATATGTATTTGGAGTCTATACACAAAACTATTAAATATTTTTATTTAAATGGACGGAAAAATAAGCGTATGGACCAATGTATAAATGCTTTATTAAAGTTTATTCGCGATAAAATGTTTGAGAGATTTATTAAACTGACCAAAAATAAATACAGCGCCAAAGAAGATAACATTTTAGCGAGCCATAATATTGCTGTAAAAATACTTGATGACGTTAAAATTGAACGAGTGTCCGAGACAACTTGGAGAATTGACTCTACCACATAAAAAAAATTTAACATATGATGTCAGTAAAGTGCAAGATATTTGTGACACAGATAATTGTAAATTGAAATGCCGCAGCCGTCTCTGTAATATTTGTACTCATATATTTATTTGTGAATGCCCTGATTTTATTATTCGTTCGAATATTTGTAAGCATATTCATCTTATTGTACAGTCAGAGAAAGATTTTTTTCAGACTGTATTCACACAGCCTGTTGAACCGACCAAAAATGTTGATACTTTGGAAAAAGTTCTTGTGAATCAAGAAAACATAGAACCCATTGAAAAAGAAAAAAATTAATCATTGAAAAATTAATGGTTAGTGTTGGCTTGTTGAAATCAAGTGATTATTCAATAGAAGAATGTACTGTCTTGAAACATAAAGTTGATTCACTACTAGATACTATAAGAGGGAAAAAAAGGAAGTTAACAGATACAACTAATTGTGAGCCATCCAATAAAAAGATTGAAAAACAATTTCGAGTTGTACAAAAAAAAAACAATCGGCAACTTCAACTTAAAAGCACTACCACTGCACTTGAAAGAATTGAAGTAAAACGCAGTTTCAAAACACCTATAGCAGCAGGAGAACAAAGAAACATATTACACATTCATAATACCGATGACCATTAATATTAATCAAATAATTTATCCAACCAAAAAAATTTGATCATGATAGTTTATAATATAATAATTGCTTGTTTTATAAAGGACAGGTATAACATAATATACCTATTACCTACTAATTGTAATTTGTAATTGATATATACATTAAGCCTCTGAATATAAGCTACAGAAAATATAAATATTTTAATAATAGCACCAAATAAATATTCCAAGTTCTAACAAAAAATTTGTAAGGTACGTATAATGTTTATTCTGTAATACAACCATTACAACCTACAAGTTATTTTAAAATTAAGAGCAGGACATACTACTATACTAGAAGTATTGTTTTTCAACTAAGATTGATTCTGTTAGGACTGTTAAAATTTTTCATATTTTTAAAAAAATAAAACGTATAATATACAAGCAATAACAGTACTAACACACTTAAACACAGTGACACAGTGGCAATACTACATAGTACATTAGTACATAAGTGATAAGTCATAAACTTAAAGAGTAAAGACAAAGTTGATAACGTGTAATCACTAAATAATAATAATAAGTCCCAGCGCATGCTCAGTAATGGTTAGCAATGATTGGTTCATGATTTTTGCTCTCGATCCCCTCGTGTTATTGGCACCCACTAAAATTATATGACAAATTATGTTTTAATTCTTTAGAGACTATTAGAAACTTAGTTATTTACTATTTTTTTGTTAAGAAAAAATATCTACAGGTATATAGGTATTGATAAATTATTGTACTTACCATTAAATTATGTTCTTTAAACAATAATGTATAATTATCTTAAAAATATATCACACATCCTCATAATACTTAGGTACTACCTATGCAGTGGTTGTTATAAATTGAATCACAAACCAAATAGGTATTTTATAGTAAGCCATAATTATTACCTATCCCATATTAGGTATATATTGTATAGTGATTACAATACTAAACTGTCTACAACTATTTTTTTAACGATTCCAGTTAGTGTTAGTGTATTACCTCTACACAGGTAATACAATTTACGAAAATAATTTCACATTTATAATGATTAAGTAGTAGGTCCTATGCAAAGTGTGCAACAATTTTTGTAACAATTAAAAAAATATAAATCACTATTATTATTTAACATAATTTTTATTATAAATAAAAACAACAAAAGTATACCTAGTTAATAAAACAAATTTAAGCACCAAATAGGTAGTTAGGTTCTTGGTAGAACTTTAAATAGTATAATAATAATAAAAACATGAAAATCTTTTCAAAATTAGGTTGTATAAAGAAAACAAGAAAATAATGTTTTCAAGAATAATCAAAAATAACAAAATAAGTATACAAATCTTGAGTAAGTTAATTAAAATATAAAATAATGAAATAAATATCAATATCAAAACAATAAAATAAAACTAATTATCTCTTTATATAGGAACATATCTAACAAATTTATAATTGTAAAAACAACAAAAGTATATCTAAATAAAACAAATGTAAGTACCAAATAGGTCGGTAGGTTCTTGGTAGAACTTTGAATAATATAATAATAAAAAAAAACATGAAAATCTTTTTAAAAATAGTTAATATAAAAAAATCAAGAGAATAACTTTTTCAAGAATAATAAAAACAAACTAAATAGGTATAAAAAAAATCTTATGCAAGTTAATCAGTATCAAAACATTAAAATAAAACTTAGTTAACAATTACCGATTTTTCACAACTTTGGCAAATAAAAAGTGTTTCATCACTACTGAGATCACAAAATGAATCATAGTTGGCACATTTTTGGTGGAATTTATCACAGCAAAAATTACATTCAATACCCAAGTTTGATTGTTCTATGTCAGTATTACATAATTTACAACATCCTGTTTTAATAATGCAACTGTTATAGATATTGCTACAAGGGTTTGGTGAACTTGGTAGTTCATCTATAATAATATTATATGAAATTGTAAAGTTTCTAAATTAATAGTTTGACTAGTCACTGTTTCTGGTTTATAATTTCTACTTAAATCTGAAAATAAATTTTTTACAATATTTCTTTTATTTGTCTTTTTTGGTTTTGTTTCTTTCAATATTTTGTTTTCTTCCCTAGTTTTCTTTCTCATTTCTTTTTCTTCTTCAATAGACCGTTTATTTTTTTCTTTGTTTTCATATAAGTTTTTCCAATTATCTGATGTAATTACATATGGTACCCTTTCTGTTATTCTTGTACCTTTTCTTTCAGGAGTCACAGGCCAAATCAAACATGACTCAATTGGTGATATTTCTAACTTTTTTAGAATTATATGATTTTTATTGTTTTTTATTAGGGTGTCCGGGCGGTTAATTGGAATCCATAAAATTTCTTTTTCTAATTCCACTTCAGAAGAACTTGTTGTAACAATAGCAGAGTTTGACTGATCTGCATTAGATTTTTCTTTTTCAAGTTCAAGGTCTACTTCGCTGTTCTGTTGATTACCTTTTAATTGTTCATAAATTCTGTATAAAATAAAAAATTCTTCAGATTGATTTTCTGTTTCAACAATGTTCTCAATATTATTAAATTTTTCTAACGTTTCAATGCCAATAATATCAGAAAATTCTTTAAGATTTAAATTTTTGATATTATTGGCAATGTTAATTGTTGTTGTTGTTTCATTTATAGTAGAACAATAATTTTTACCCAAGCATTTTTTATAATCTATTTAATCTGGATTCCAAGGAAATAGTCCACATGCTTTGAAACCGTTTATTAGGGTACTACTTTTAACAGTAGTTTTTAATACAGCATCAAGTATCGGTGCAAAATCTTTTTTTGTCACCGAATTGTGTGGATTTTTATTTCACCATT